AGTTAGTAGTATTGTGATCTTTCCAAATATGAAATAAATTTCAATCACCAGTGGTATACCAGAGATAGAAAATGTTTATTTTTTGTTAATATATCCTTCTCCTTATTTTATACTCATATATTTTAACTAAGAATATATTTACTATTTATTAAAGCTATAATATATTGGACATTGATTCTATATTATAAAACATTCAAGTCAATAATATTAACTTGAACTATAAGCTATAGTATAATCAGATCTGCCACCCATGTGAAACTACATATGAATAGTAAATTTCAATATTAAAGTAAGTGAAAATAACACTAGAGTTCAAATACAGTTAGATATATTTATCTCACTATTTTCTTCTAAATTATATACATTTGAATAACTGTTTAAATAGTATCTTTAAAGACCTTTCTTCTGCTTAATACCTCCACTTGTTGTTACTGTTATTTTCAATACCGCAAAAACCGAAATAATTGAGAATAGTGCTAAGAGGTTAAAATAAGGTGAGGCACAGGGGGATCAGCAAAATACGAGTGACTCAACATTTAAGACAAGTACACAGACCTACTATTCAGACTTCAACTCATCAAGTCATGAAAATGAGTTGAGAGGAAGGAACGGGTAAAAAAAAAAAGAAATTGAGTCAATAAAGAAAAAGTAGAATAGAATACAGGTATAAAGGAAGTAAAGGAAAAGGTGAATCAGAAAGTACAGATAATTGTGAGCGCCAAAAGCAAACTAAAAAACAAAGTAGAATGCCAGCAAAAGCAACCGGAAGAATACGGGTACGACCAGTTCTCGAACCCCTTACACCCAATGGGTTTTATACAGGGGTGAAGAAGAAGCAAGGACCGGTATGAAAATGGCTTTCAGAAAAGCTTCGAGCTCCTCCCAAGCATGTTGATAATCCCTATCAATCATATACAGTTAGTTTCAAGCTCTGGGTACTTTCATACTGGGAAACTCCTTCGATCCAAATCAGCCCAACTCAGTTGTGAAAGCCTACCCATTTGGAAGTTGTTAAATGGTTCAAGATCCCCGGCGCCAATCTCTACCGATGGAGAAATGACGAGAAACAGGGGAAATATGAGCTATTCACAAGAAATCAGTATAGAGCTCAAGGGGGGGGGAGGAAACGGAAATGGGTTGCAATGGAGTGGGAGTTGTATGACCGGTTTCGTGTTCGTCGAGCAAGTGGTAGAATAGTTCGAAGAGGGTGGTTTCGTCAAATCAGTAAAGAAATATTTCAAAAAGTATATCCTGGGGAGCCACTTACCAACTTTGGCTTCTCCAATGATTGGTTTCGCGGGTTTCTTTGATGGTACCAAATATCCCTACGTTTTGTCACCAATAAATCTAGTCAGCTGCTGACAAATTTCCAAGAAGCAATCTTCAACTGGATGCGATTTAATAGGCACAATTCTCAGATTTGCCCTAATGATCAGAGAGGGTTAGGAGACTCACCAGCAGAGGTTGGCCGGTATCGCTTGGCCAACATTTGCAACATGGACCAAACGCCATTACCCTTCGAGTTTCTCGAAGGGCAAACGTACAACAATATTGGTAATCAATCTGTTTGAGTACAGGCAAGTCAGTCTGGATGGGACAAACGTCAAGGAACCATTCAACTTACAGTATTTGCGGATGGCATACCATGGGTAAAGCCATTGATATTCTTTCGGGGGCTGGGAGTAGGGGGAGGTATCCTTAACGAGCGAAAGGACTATGACCCACGGGTCATAGTGAAGTTCAATTCAAAGGCATATGCTAATGAATCGAACTTCCTCGAATTCCTAGATGAGCAGTTAGTTCCTGTGCTTGACAATCAGCCAACGCTTCTTGCGTTAGATCTTTTTGGAGCTCACGAAACCCAAGAGGTTCTCAACACTTTCCTCCCTCATGATATTACCATTAGCCTAGTTCCCGGTAGCTGTACTTCTTTAGTACAGCCATTAGATGTCAGTATTAGTCGTCCCTTCAAAGAGATTTTGAAGGGAGGAAACCACTTGCCTGAGATCCCTGGTCATGAGTGAAAAGAAGAAAAAAAAGACTCTATTCCAACATATCTTTCGTTATCATAGGAGATTCTGGAGGAAAAGTTAGATGAAATAGAGAGTAAAGAGGAAGAGATATTAGAACGAGGGGGTAAACTCAATGGGAGTATAATTGGAAGGAGGCGAATACTAACCACTTGGGTGGTGGGTGAGGCGTGGGAAATCTTTGCACGGGAGCGGGCAGAGGTGGTAACAAAATCTTTTCGTATTCTTGGATTAGCTTTGCCTGTCAATGGTACTTGTGATCATGAGATCAGTATAAAAGAGTTGAATAGTACTTACTTTGTAGAGGGGATATGGGATTGGAAAAATGGAGGAAATGGTCCAATAGATGAAGATAATGATCCTATTGAGTTAGCAGAGGTTGATGATGAGGAAGATGGTATATACTATGAAGAAATATGTTAGCATAATCTGAAATCCATATTGCGCCATGAACATGGTGTGACTAACCTTATTTTAACCTCTTAGCGCCATTCTCAATTATTTCGGTTTTTGCGGTAGATTTTATCGCAACCGCACCAAGGAATCAATAAGTAGAGGTTTTTTTGTTTTTTTGGTGAAGACTTGCGAGTAGTATACTTTCTCTTATTAACAGTAGAGATAGTAGAATCTTCTTATCCTGAAAGTTTGAAAACTGCTTGGTATGATATGATATAATAAAGAGCATAGTTTAAGAAATACTTTACCGGCACAATATGTTTTGTGTGAGAGGCCAATTTTGTTGTCCTTTATAGTACCTGAATTTTGTCACAATCAACCTAACCTATCCCTCTACCGTGCCACCTTTTATTGCCTCATCCTTGTAGCATCACACAGGGTATATATTCCTGTATTTTTCCCGTATACTTTTCCAGAGAATTGGATTATAGAGAAATTCGGGGGAAATCGAAAAATATCATTCTCTCTCAACTTGAAATATTTTCAGATATCATGATTTCACTGATTATGGGTTCACGTGCTCCTCTGTTTCTCCTATCATAATTGTTTATGCTAATAACTCCCACTGGTCATGCCGAGAGTCACCATACCCCGAAAGGCAACGCGACTTCAATCCGGGCACGTGGATGCACTTAGTGATGGGGAGAGATGACCCTCCCCCCCAAAGTCCTGAGCTCGTACAGCTTGGCAGGACGAGCAGGCAAGCAGCTACTGTACAGCAGGCGGGGAAGAATGCAAAGAAAAATATTATTGTTATTATCGGCGCCGGCAAAGTGAGTGTCTCGGAGAGTGTCGAGTGACATGTCAAAGGGCGCGGGAAATCACCGACAGCGGGCCACAGAACGTAAACTTTGTTGGATGGGTATCGATGATTATCATCATACCCGTGTTTACACTTCTTTTCTTTTTTTCCTTTCTCTCTTTGCTTTTTCCTCCAGTACCGCACTTCTCTTAGGCGATATAGTATTTTGGCTGGGGACACCAGCGAGCATTCTAGATAGATATTGGGTGAGAAGTGATGCGTGGTCCATTTAGTGGTCCATTCACGTCTGTCCCCGTAGTGACCATAGCCCATGGACGGAGAAGTGGTAGGAACTATTCGCATTGGTGGTTTTGGACCCTCCTGGTTGGATGGGGAGCGGGCGGGACTGACAATATCGTACCAATTTACAATCCAGCGAACAACGAACAGCAAGCAAACAGCCATTTTGTACCACCGACTTGCTAAACCAGTGGCTTGAGTGGAGGAGGGAGTACACATGGCCCGATCGGTGCCATGGCAGTACGCCGTCATTTGCACTGATCGAGGGGAGAGATACTGTAAATTCTGTGCGATCATACTGGGAATTGGGGGACTGGGATTATATCTCCCGTGATTGTGGTGATGGAGGGTGAGAAGTGAGAAGTTGTGGGTTTGGTTGTAGTTCTGCGGCTGTTTGCCTGGCTTCTCCCTTGGATCTACTTCCTGTTCTGCGATGCGGGTTTCTTGCGTTTGGTCCCATTGCCTATTCCCGGGGGTACTGTAGTCTCCACTTTTTTGTTGTTTATCTCTATCTATCTCTCTATCTTTGCTTGATTAAAAGTCCGCGTGTTTATGTTTTATTACGGTACCTACTTGTGTTGCTTTCCTTTTCTGTTTTGTGTGCGTCCATCTGTCTGTTTCCTACTCTGGGGACTGGAAATTTTCCTCTGGTGCCTTGCACACCAAAATTAAAGCTTGCGCCGCTTGCCTGCCCGTTCTTTTGAAGTGGTGGTGATACTGTCAGTCCTGTCAGTCTACTCGAGAATCTGTCCCACCCATCACACCCACTAGCTTAATTCATCCATCCATCTTCAACCCTCACCCGTCCTTCGTCTCCCCTCTCCCTTTCTCCCTCTCCTCCAGCTTTGCCTCACCTTTTTTCCTCTGTTCTCCTCTCGTCCCCTCCCCTTCCTCTACTCCTCCTCTCCCTTTCCCTTTTACTTCTCTCTCATGCCCATCACTCTCCGTAGCACACTAGCACCAATACTATTGTTGTTGTTGCTTACCTGCTATTCGTTACCTTAGTCTTCAGCATACTGCACTATCTGTTTGTTGCTGTTCTTTCCGGTTTCCCTCACAAATATCAGCTAGTTCCCCTCCACCCCCCCCCAGAGAAAAAAATTCAGACTCGTTTTCCCCGCCCTTGCCCTGTGCGATTCAACACACCTTCTCGGCTCCTCATCTCGCTTCCAATTCTTGAAGCTGGCCGTTGCTCCTGCAACCCCCCCCCCACACAGAGAAATAGAATTAGTTCATGCTATGAAACGCCGAGAGCACCCACATGACGTTGCACTTGCCAGTTGCGCGATGGTCT